TTTGTCCGCTATGCTTTGAAAACTTTCAGCGTTTTCACTTATTAACGAATCATTTCAACATCGTTTATAACATTGAGTTGGAAGTAAAGGATCTACAATTTAAGAAAACGGAAGATTTTTTTTACACGAAAAGCAGATTTAGAGTTAAAAACTAATTCTTTTATATGACGAATTATTATTTTCTACTATGAATGTCAGAAGTAATCTAGCAAATTCTGTTAGTAAATGTAATATACGAGCTCCTAAAATTAGTGGCAGTATCAAAATGCAAGGAGTCTGTCCTTCACGAATTACAGCTCACTTTGATCATTCTTCCTCAGTGGTACTTGTTCAGTTTATTGCTATTTATGTTGTTCATCACAATGATCTTCGCTGTCAACCCCTAACTACAAAAGAAACGACACATATAGTTGAACAAATTCGCACTGGTCTAACACACGAAAAAGTAATTGAAACTGTTAAAAATCTAGAACTCAGTTCATGTACCAGATTTAATCTTCTGACTATGAAAGACATTCCCCACATTGCAGAAAAAATAATATATCTGGTAAATGAAGTAAGGAAAATCTTGTTGTGCATCAGAACATGAAAAATTGCACAAAAATGACTGCATTAGCTTCCATGTACAGTGGGCTGGAGTATATGTTAAAAAAATATGGCGCCAAAATCATTTGTGTAGATGGCACACATGGGACAAACCTCTATGACATTGAATTGACCACAAGTCCACGTGTTAGATGATAAAAATATTGATTATCCAGTAACATTTATTCTGTCCAACTGAAAGGACACCAACATACATATAAGAGGTTCTGGTTGGTGAAATAAAATCATTAATATCGGTTTTGGTACCCAATTATTTTATGACAGATGATAGTTACAGCTACATATTGGAATGCCTGGAACAATAAATCAGATTCTTACAAAATTAGATTATGTATTAAAAGAAACAGATGAAAATAAATTTATAAGACTGAAGCAAGAGCTGATTAAATTTTTGGTAAAAAGTAAATTTGTGAATTATTTAAACACTTACTACTTTCAAAATAAAGAGCGCATGAAGTCATGGGCCCAGTGTTATCAAAAGAACGCAGGCATTAACACCAACATGCACGCCAAATCTTTGCACAGATCTTTGAAATACAAATATTTTGGTGGTAAACCAATAGAGGGCTGGAAACATATTTAGACACTTTGAAGAAACTACTAAAGGATACATCTTGGTCAAGAATTTCATCTACTTTATGACTTACAGCTATTCACCATGACCTTTTGATCAGTAAGTCCGATAAACTTGCCACCCAGACAAGTTTTGATAATGTAGCTAAAGAATCTGCTGTAAAACATTTTTGAATGCACTCACAAACCAAAACTAACTTTCATGAAGTAGAACTGATGGATAGGAAATGTAGTTATCAGACATTAAAATGCGTTGTTTGTCAAATTTGTATACACCATTAAAGATACTCTTGCTCTGAGTTCTTAATCAAAAATCATCTTTCTAAGCACATGCATCTGGTGTCCATGTATATAAAGGCATATTTAACCACCAAAGGCCCTTGGTCCCACTGGTCATCAATGCGCCTTCAACTTCTGAAAAACAGTTTGAAAATGAACTACATTTGCGCTTATCTAACTCCGTAACATCGCGCAGAACACGCGCTTCTCGATTTCGCACAAACTGTTTGTGCAAAGCTCTTCTACAGCATCTTTTGATCACGTTCCTCATCTTCAAATGTTATGCAAATGCTTCCTTTTGCCACAAAAATTTGTTAAATTTCGCATTCGTGCATTCTTTAATTGCAGCATTGCAGCCGTTGCTAACATAACCTAACTTTTTATGGTCACCAACGCATGCTAACTTTTTGAAAGGACACACGGGCGCTTCGCCTCCTGCACTTCATTACAAATATACTCCTAAACGTGGAACTTCTTTTTCCGTGGATGATTTAGTTATTGGAATTTGTGCGTGTGTATATCAACAGCCAACCAAAAATTTCACTTGTTATCGCCAGTATCGCCTTGTTATGTTAGTCACATGTGTATTGACGCATGCGTTTTCGATATTTAATCATGAAGCATTTAGGCAACCAGTTATACAGATGCATGTGGTGCTTGTCGTGCCCAAGGACACATTTAGTAAAGTACACATAAAGCGAAAGGCGGCACACATCCATAACCTACTGCGACCCTATAATCATTTATGAAAACCCTGTATAACTTAAACAATGCTCAGCTGAAATTAGGCAACATCGGTACTTGACGGATGGCGGTATATTTAAAAATGTTCAAAAAACTTTTATTAATGTAGTTAATATGTCATCTGTCAGAATTATTATGCCTATAATTTGTGAATTGTCTTAAGTAATTTTCATGTTGTGTGATATAAACTTTGTATCCAGTTTGTTAGTCCCTTAATAAAATATATTTTTTGTTTTTGTTGTTAAAAAATATGTTTGATTACATTAACTAGGTCGCTGTATGTAATAAGTTGAACAGCGTATCACTTTTGTAGTTGTTATGACATTAGTTAAAATTTAACCCATTTGCTATCGCTCGGTTTTATGTACCCGTCGGAAATAATAGTTCCATTAGGTTAACTGATAGCATGGCTTCTAAAAATATATGTTCATTTTATAAACTATGACTAGGGATATTAGATGACCCTCTATTTGGCTGCATTCTCTAAAAGATAAGTTTAATCAAAGGTTTTTTTTTAATTTTGGTTGTCTTTTGAAAAACTGAAAGTGCGTTTTTTTATTAAAAGTCGAAATGTTATTGTTAACTAAATCTAAAGAGTGATTGCCTACGTTATTGGATTTTTTTATTTTCGAATGTGGACACCACAGCATTTTTATTATATTCAAAAATACATTTTACAGCCTGACACATACTCCATTTGTAATTACCTTGCGATTTCATAGAAAGAAATAATCAACAGCCTTATCAAAAAGTATGCAATAACTCACATTTGATAACTTCAGCAATTTAAAAGAAACAGTGTGCAGTAAAAGTGATAACGATAAGAGTCTAACAATGTATAGTTATCAGAGCAACCTTAGGAATTTTTGCAGATTTGTTGACGGAAAACAAGTTTTTTGTGTCCTTTCTCTGATTCGAGTTTTTCAACATTCATTACACGCAGTTAATTGTAGGAAAAATTACATTACTCTGGAAACGTGCTAAGTTAACGTAGACGCAGACACTTACCAATCATTACTATTACTATTGATATTTGTAGAATAAAGGAGCAAGTAAATAAATGTACACCACCTTCATTAATAATTTAACCGTAAAACATGTATTTGTTTATAACTTTAATACACCAACATATAGAACATGTAAAAAGCAAACAACACACATATCACTACTGCACTTAGAAAAGTTAACGTAAGTGCAACAAACTGAAGTATCAATTCCATGAGGAACATGTCTGTGTAAGTACTAAAAAAATACTGGTAAAAAAATATTACGTTTAAAAGTGGCTACCACAACTAATAATAGTAATATGTAAATGAGCTCATAAATTGTGGCGTTATGTTTACACAAAAGCATATAATTACAACCTTAATGGACATTAACATTATAACAACCGTGACATAGCGCTTGACGTCAGCCAAGCATGGTAATTCTTTTATGCTATCATTTACAATAATGTCGGATAAAAGCCCGTTCATTATCCAAATAGCTGGCATTAAAATTTTAAAATCGTGGTCAATTTCAATTTTGCTTTACACCGATTTATTTCAGTATAGGAATTAAGTGATGCAGGGGTTAATTCTAGGTCCTCTATTGTTTAATTTATTTTCCAATGAATGACGTTCCACCTAATATTGGTTTCGAAACTTATTTCCACGCAGATGATTTTAAAGATTATAAGAGTAAAAGGAAATTTAAAGAAATTTTTTTAACTATTTAGCTGTTTAGTGGCTAGGTAAATAGTTTCGTGCTTCTCACAACTTTTGATAAGACGGTAAAGCTGATTTAAGCGTCACAGAATGTTAAACAACAATTACATACCCTACAGGTGAGATAAAAACGTTATTATCGTACGAGCGTGAAGTTTATTCACAAAGAGGCGTGAACCGAGTTGTGTAGCCGCACGAGTGCGATCAGAGCCGGATTTTCTTTTTATAGAGGCCCCACAAAACATTCACGGGCCCTTTTTTGTTAAGCTTAAATTAAAGAGCTTATCACGAAAACTTAATAATCCTTTGTGGAGGCTTAACGTTTAAAGTTTGAATTCTCGTGTTTCCTCAACAATGTACTAACTTTCATGAAATGAAACTAAAAACTGTCATCTAAAAGTATAATTTCTTTTAATATTCTGAGTCACATTCCAACCAAATTTAAAACCAATTTAAGTAATAATATGGTTTATTACTTAGTTTAAAGACGTAAATGAAAGCGTAAAAGTTGAAACGCTAAAAATAAACATTGACCAATAAAATTATCAGTAATTAATAAAAATTATTCTTATTACCTCACACTTATTATTATTAAACACGCTATCACAATTATATTTCGCCGAATTTAAACAAAAACCCCGTTCTTCAAACTCCGAACAAAAAACAGGAACAAACCGTTAACTTTTTAAAAAGCTATAAATTTTAATAAAACCCACTACTGCCATAACACTGAGTCATCAACGATAAAAAAACGACGTAATGGTCAAGAGTGCAAATCTCAGTCACTCTTATTAATCGGATTACGACGACTTCCATGTCATAAATTATGAATTCACTTCCACAAAACCATTAAGAAAATGGTTCAAACTTCATGTGACTCATGTTCGTAAGAACAGTCCAATCACCCAAATAAACACTCCGGAACAACAATTCAAAGAACCAATGAAAGGACACAGTTAATCAACTGTGAAATCGTAGCAGTTGTAAACAGTACCACCACCCAGTTAAATCGTATGAATCACGGTTAGACGGAGATATGCACAAAGTACTTGGTCTGCTATCCCCTCACTGACCAATTATCTCTTTATTTAAAGCAGAGGCCATTGAGTTTTTGTTGAGTTAAGAACGAGAAGTCGCTGGTAAAAGTTCGAGATGTTGAAGGTAGTACTGTGTTTGGTGGTTTTGGGGGTGCTGCAGGACACCGATGGGCACTCGTACCATCTGGGTACTTGTCCCAACATAGATCCTTTACCGGGATTCAACATGAAAAAGGTACTTTTTTTAGTAGTAGTAGTACGCACTAATCGGATGATAATTTTTGCAGATGTTGGGAATTTGGTACGTCGTCCAGAAAACTAGTACTGGTAGCACTTGCCTTACGTACAATTTTACCCAAACTGATGAGCCTGGGGAGTACTTACTGGAGCAAAATAGTCAACATTTAATACTAGGACTGACGCCGTTGAAACATCAGTACCACTACACCGGGAAGTTGTCAATTCCGGATGAGGCAGTACCAGGAAGGTAATGAATTAAATTAAATTATGAAAACTTTCACATCATAAATATTTTTTTATAGAATGATAGTAAGATTCCCACTCAATCCAGCCGGTTCCGCTAGTTACACAGTATTCATGACCGACTACGACACCTACGCCGGAATTTTCACGTGTCAAAAACTAGGCTTTGCCCACAGGCAGTCGGCTACGATTTTGTCACGTGAGAAGACCTTGGAGCAGATCTACATCGACAAGGTAAGCCTATAACTCAACGACAATCTAAAATTATAATTTCTGTGTATTGTAGATACGTTCAAAGCTCTCGGCTTCCAATATCGACCCGTTTGACCTCTCCATCATAAGTCAGAAAGGTTGTCCAAAAGAAAATGGTACCAATATTAACATCGATAGTGAGACCTTCTCGGCACACTCGGTGGCAGGAGTGATTAGAAAAGCCGGAGAAAAAATTGGAGATGGGGTTGAGTATGTTGCTGGTGGAGCAAAGAAAATCTATCATAGGGTTACTGATAGTGAGGAAGACGAAGAGAAGGGTAAATTAGTTACTGTTAATCCTAATGCTGAATGGCTGCCTTAAGTTACCACGTGATGTGTTCAAGTGCCAAATTATTTTTTAAGACTGTGAAAGTTGCTCAGATGTAGTATAATTTTTAATAAATACGTAATAAGACCAGTGTTTTTTTTTTGTTTTTTCAATAATTTTAATAGGCTGGGGAATTCTAAAATGCAAATAAATACGAAGAACTTGTTTATTGTTTTCTGCGAAATCGAAATTGTGTTTGTTTTGATTGTATCAAACTATATATTTGGGTTTTTTGTCTCATAAATTTCATCAGATGCTTATGTAGATTTGGGAATGTTTATTTTTACTGATCGAAATGTTTTTTTTTGTTTTTCTGAAATATTTCTTTTAATTTCTAGTTTTTTTCATAATATTTAGAAAAAATGATTACAGAACAATGAATAACATAACAAATGAAAGACAATTGGAAACAAAAAATAAAATTAAAGGATTTAACAGACGCAACTAGCGCCATTAAAAAGAAGAAAACAGAAGCACAAAGAATCGAGTAAATAAAACTAAAAAAGAAAACAAAGAAATAATACCAGTTACAGTGTAAGAAAAGAAGAAGCTTATGAGTAGATCGGAATAGACGACCTACGCGTGTTTCGCGCTTATCAATTATTCGAATTTGGATTTTTTTGAGAAAATTTGGATGCTTGACTCAAGGCGGATTCATAAACCATAACTACATTAGTAAGTTTGTTGTTTTATTAAATTTCAATGGCATTTACCAACCAAAATATTGAAAAGACGTCATAAAATTTTTGGTGGGGATGATTAGAAAAATTTTGGTTAGATTAGTTAAATTTGACTATAATTAATCGGTGAGAACACTTGTCTAATAAAAATCGGCACACACGACAGACAGAGGACAGACAGAAACGGGGGACCAATTTTTTCATAATTTAAGGGTCAGGAAACGTCGAGAAAACATTAAAGTGACTATTTGCAAGATGGACTCCATTGCAATAAAAACCTAGGAGCTTACATTCGGGGAGTAAAAGGGCTTAAAATGGATTAATTAAAAAAAAAAACAAACAAAAGAAAACAGAAAATTGTGCGAAATATATCACTGATTTAGGTTTTTATTTCTGGAAAATTTATGAAAAACTTCAGCAGTCAATGAGGAAAAGATCTAGTCGGTGGTAGTCATGTTCAGTAGTGTTTGTAGAATAAGAAGCTTCAAATGTAATACCGGGTGACTAGTAATGATTGAAGCAAATTTTTGTGTTGGCAAGTTTGAATTATTGGCAACAATACTGTTATGTCAGTTCACAGTTGTCAATTTTGACTTGAGCACGGCTAACAAACGTGTTGAGAAGATGACAGCTGGGGACTTGTTATCATAAAAACTTTAATAGTCACTCGGTATAAATTAATAAGGTTTTTTTTTGGAAAAACTTTTATCGCTCTGTACCTCCAAAAAGATTATTTAACCTCAAAACCACTTACATACGCAATTATTTTTTTTGTATTGTCATTGTTGTTAATTATTTTCAAATAAAATTATTCTAGATTCCTTTTGTAAGTTTTGAAAGTATTAAAATACCAATAAATGTCTCCATTTTTTTAAATTATTTTTTGATGGTCAACTATGTAGTTGTACACTATTTTAACTCAATAGGGATTTTTTTTTAACCTTGTCGAAATTTCGACATTCATGTTCTTTCTGACTTTGTTTCCAAATAAAATTTTTGCTGGAACCCTCTTAAATACCATGTGATCGTCTAATACTGATAAATAGAGGGTTAAATTTTACAATACCAACATCATAATTTTAAAAACAAATTGCACGGCCTGCTAGAGGCATTTTTATCCTGTGATGCAAATCAACTAACTCTCTTCTTTAAAAATGTTCTTATTCAAGTTAAAACATCTGTGAACCTTTCCAAAAAGAATATTTCTAGAATTATCGTAAATTAATTCCTTGGCACTTAGTGTACTTCAAAACCAAATACTCAGATTCAAGCTCTAAACAGTTATTAACCTTGTAGGAAAAGATTTAAGCCCTGCTGTTTTCGAGTTCACAATGATATTAATTTAACGGCTAATAATTTTCAAGGCCCTTTCTTTCAAAATGGATCAATGTTTAAGACTAGCTTAAATACCATAAATGAAAGATTTCAAATTTCGAGTGAAAAGTTTATGAAATGTGTATAAGTATGTACATATAATAACTTAAGTAAAAACATCCAGAAATCTAGATACATATAACATATATATATATATAAGCTTAGAAAATCGTTAATAAACTAATCTTACACTAATTACACCCGTTTTAACATAAAACACGAAGCGTGCGCCGTTTCAGAATTCCTTCTACTGTGTCTTATACAATTCCCTAAAACTACCAACCCAAGGCTAATTTGCCTACATTATTTATTAGAATTATCCTACTTACGTCACCATTTTTTTGAGAGGATAAACAAACGTATTTTGATTAAAAATTTACCATGCTTGCGATAACTTGAAAAAAACAAGAACATGCAGAGTCATCTGTCACTCGTTGACATTCTAAAAAATACTTCTTTATTTTTATCTATTTTTTTTTTTCTTTAGATTAAGTACAGTTATTACTTGTTATGTTTGTTTATAAATAGAGTCATTTGTCATTATTTCGTGGTATTTATTAGTTTTTTTTAATACTTTAGTCATAAAACAGTGGCAATAAAAATTCAAAAAAAACGATTTTACATAACACGAAAACAACATCCATTTCTTTGATTTACACCACCCATTGTTCATAAATTATTATAATAACAACACAAAATTGATAAATTTCTGTAACTTAGGTATTTCACCGCTATCTCCACACATTTTTTACTTAAAACAGATAACATTTTGATAAACGCCACCATACCCCCATCAACCAATATGTGTTACCATTCATGAATAGCACACCAAAATGAAAAGTCTGTTACTAGCAACCTTGTGTTTATTGTTAATGCAAATCCAAAAAACAACCCCTTCTTGTCGAAAAAGACGCAGCAAACCCAACATAATCGTAATCATAGGCGACGACGTGGTAAGATCTATTAACCCAGCGTACCTTTTGTCTATCAAGAACCCTAGGGTCACAACGACTTCAGTCTGCATGGTTCCAACCAAATCCCGACACCTAATATAGACGCTCTTGGCTACAACGGGATAGTTTTGGATCGGTACTACGTCCAAAATTCATGTACACCATCAAGAGCAGCATTCCTAACCGGGAACTACCCAATCCGATCCGGAATGCAAGGAGTACCCATCGTTGCAGGAACCAACAGATCGCTGCCTGTAGACATGCCCACAATGCCCCAGTTTTTGAAAAAAATAGGCTACAAAACACATATTGTAGGTAAATGGCACTTAGGTTCCAACTACAGGAGCAGAACTCCTACTGAAAGAGGGTTCGATACGCACTTTGGGTACTGGAATGGGTTTCTGGGATACTTCGATTATTTCACCGATTTTAACAATACGGTGAGTATTAGTTGCACCATGTAATGGTTCTAATGGTTGATGTTTTCACAGAAGGTTGAAGGTTTTGACTTACATGATGGTTTTGAAACGGTTTGGAGAGACATTGGGCAGTACGCTACTAATCTTTTCACTAGGAAAGCCTTAGAAGTGATTGATAAACACGATAGTAGAAATCCTTTGTTTTTGATGGTCACGCATCTAGCAGCACATGCCGGGAGGGACGGAGTTGAGTTAGGAGTACCAAATAGGACTCTAACTGATTTAAAATATAGCTATATTCAAAATCCCCGTCGAAGACTCTTTGCTGGTACTACTTTTTCCAACCAGTTTCTTTAAATGTAATTATTTTTGTAGATGTCGTAAACCTACTAGATGATTCAGTTGGACAAATTGTACAAAGGTTGCTACATCGTAACATGCTGAAAAACTCCATAGTACTCTTTTTCTCTGATAATGGGGCTCCTACTGTTGGTCCCTATGCGAATTCTGGCTCAAACTGGCCACTACGAGGGGTACATTCAATAAAATCAGTACCTTCAGTACTAACCGTTCGTTTCAGATAAAACTGACTAACTTTGAGGGTGCTATTAGAGGCACTGGGGTTATTTTTAGCCCTTTATTGAAGAAGAGGCGCTACGTTAACAGTAAATTTATACATGTTAGTGATTGGTTACCTACGTTGTATGCAGCTGCAGGTACTTATACTACCAATTAACACCTCAACAAATTATAATTTTTCTCCATGTGAACAGGTGGCAATGTCAGAGATTTAGGTCACATTGACGGTGTTAACCAATGGAACACACTATCACAAGACGCCCCTTCACCACGTTCCGAAATCCTAGTCAACATCGATGAAGTAGAAAACACTACATCGATTATAACACACAACGGACGCTACAAAGTACTTACAGGTACTTCACAAACCTTGAGTAAACCTATTCGTACTCACTTTACGTTGTAGGTGCTTTCCTGGGTGGTACCAAAGACTCCTACTTCGGTGAAAGTGGCCGAGGTACCGAAGTACCACCATACAACATCACTAGAGTTATCCACTGTGATACCAACCAAGCTATACAACAAATCACCAACGCTCCAATAAGCGAAAAACAGATTATGTACACCAGAGCTCAGGTGGACTTGGCTTGGTGCAGAAACGCCAACTATACTCCATTTTTGAATTGTTCGAATGCTTGTTTGTTCGATTTGGAAAAGGATCCGTGTGAGACTACGAATATTATAGACGAACAGCCAGATTTGGGGCGGCTGCTTTTGAGAAGAATTGAGGAGTTTTCGGTGTTTTTGGTGCCTCAGGGGAATCTGACTGTTGATCCGGATTCGAATCCTCAGCGTTTTGGTAATACTTGGTGTACTTGGTTGGACGATTCGTGGTGTGTGAAGACTCCTAATAACACGAATTTGACACCAAATAATGTAAATATTTGAATTAGTTGTTTCAGTAAATAAAAGATGGGGCGATAGAATACTGTACGGTTTTTAGTAAAGTCTATTTAGTACCGCTAAATAAACACAAAATTTATGTACCTAGTACACAAAATTATTCATTCCTCCATGGACAAAAAAAAAAGCTGCGAGCGAGAGTGACTCGTGGCTTACCCTCAGGCTGCTCAATGCCGAATCGCAATCGCTTCTCAGCTCCAAAAAAAAACGTATTCATCTTTGGATAAAATTTAAATGAAATCAAATTAAACGTTCTGAATCAATGCATATACTTGAAAATCACAAATCACTGCGACGGTGATTCTATTCTATCGACGAGCAGGCCGTTACGGTCGCAAACTCGCAGTTGGGCCCCGGCTATTCTAAACCTGATAGCTCAAAAAGGAACCGCGCCCTCCGCTGCCGCCAAGTGTTATTGTGTTATCTAACCTCAATTCCGTTTAAATGTTCAATTTCTATGACTCAAATAAGTTTCAAAAAGGTCAATAAACACCATTTAAATTTGCCATACAATCTTGTGAAATTGTAAACAACAAATAATTCTTATTTGAGATTGGACATCAGTTCATTTATATCATGGAAACCTTCATCAACAAAATATTAAATAAGAAACCAGCAAAGATTTATAAAAACAAAAAATCTGGTGTGAAATAAAGTTGTGCGGATAAAATATTACGTGAGGTTAGAAACTGCAGAGCATGAAAGTTTACGTTCAATTTAAATTATACAACAAAGAGAATTACTGAAGTTAAAAATTATGAGAGAGAAAAATATTGTTTGAGGTGAAAATTGCAACGATTCATAAAAATTGTGAGATAGAGAAATATTGTTTGAGGTGAAAATTGCAACGATTCAAACAAGGGATTTATATGATGTTACATTATGCCATGATTCAAGTGATTGGTTACTTAAAACAATTTGTTTTGAGGGTTTATAACGTGGAGTGCTTATCCCCAACAAAACACATGATAAATAAACACAAATGCGTCCTGTGTTGCTAGGAAAATGCGTCTCGGTGGTGCAATTATCCAACGTTGCGAGGAACATGCGTCTCGGTGATGTGATGATGATAACGATGATAATAACGATGATAACTGTCTAAGGAGAGAAATATGTAATCCCCCCGTCAGTCCACGATGTTTTGACGGTATTTCTACGGTCTTTTTCCACACTGGGGCAACGTTAGTTTAATTTAACTACCGTAAATAAACTATAGCAATCTTGTGCGAAGAATTAAGAAGTGTTATAATGTAACACTTAAGTATATGCATCCAGAAACGTTATTCGTAACTTTGTTAAACAAAAGACTCAATCCTGACGAAGTGAATTTCATGAAATCTCCTAGTAAGTGATTTATATAAATAAATCTAATGTCTGTTAAATTGTATTAGCACCAGTTAACGATTAAACTCCTAACAAGAACTGTGAATTTACAAACAATGAATCAAATTTACACGTACTAGCCTCGATCACTTTTTTCCGATTAGTCGTGTGTGTGTCGTCGTCGTCGTTACTATTAATTATCGTTAAACAAATGGTTTCTCCTTCTTATTAACTACCAAATCAACTAACTAACCAAGCTAACTCATCACGTGGTTACACTCACAACAAACACACCAAAAGTGACGCTTTCACTTCTCTACCAAGCAGACATCTTCTTTCCCTACCAACCCGCAAACTAAAATCCCCAGCAGGACTACCAACTACCTAACAAGCGCTAACGTGCACATGGTTACCTATGTGTAACGATTGTTTTAGATTGATTTTTTTTATTCAAATTATTCAGACGTGATGTCGCGCCGTTGTTAAATTTTTTCAGCGCGAAAGTTAAGACACATTTGGATAAAGGTTGGGGGAAAACAAAGAGGTATAAACAAAGAAATTATACTAGAAAAAACTGAATACCTATTCTAAATGTAAAAAACTGTTTTCTGTCCAACAATCAAGCCGGGTTTCTAAGAACTAGAAACTCCGATGCATTCTAAGCCCGATTTTTTGTTGGAAACGGTCCAAATCAATACAAATTTCAACGCCAATAAAATAGAAAGAAATCGATTAAAACTGGAATTGTGAATTATCGTCAAGTTAGAAACGTTCTAATTCAATTGATTTCTAAAAACGCCAATATGTCTATCACTCCGAGAAACCAAAATACCAGTGCCAGAAATGCAAATATCTTTACTAGGATAAAAGTTTATGCACAGTCATCAGTCATCGCAGAATAATCTAGGGATCTTTTTCTTGCTTTCATATGGTAAAGTTGTATCTAAATTACTGCAAACGACAACTAAATCACAAAGCAAATTGAAGGCCAAAAGTGGCGTCAGCATGTCTAACATACTGGGATGTAGCTGATTGATTATGTTGTCCTTAGATATCCAGGAATTAGGGTTTCGTTGCAGTTTTTCATGTTTTTATTTGCGTTAAACTGGAATGAAGAAAAGGAACATTTGAACTAGCTTTTGAAGGATTACGGGATGAAATCTATCCAGATTTTATAATCATCTTAACATCTGGCCAACTTTCAAGTGTGAAGAGGAAAATATACTAAAGAAATCGGTACCTATCTAGACAATGTACAATTTTTAATATCACTAGGCTCTGATTCGGAATACAGGTTTTCTTTCAACTAAAGACGGTGCCATGTATAGCGATTCTTTTTATATCGAACGTCAAACGACGTGAATTGTGTGTTGCCTATCTCAAAGTTTATAAAAATATTTTCTAAGCTTCACTTTACCTACGTAGAGAGTCTTGTTTCGCTGCTTGCTTGCTTCTTGCTTTTAAATATCATAAATTAATTGCGATTTTTCCTGAATTAAGGTCATTAGTTTTGCTAATAATAACTAAAACCTATTCTACTATCTGTAAATGGAACGTCTCACTAGGTACTGTAATTATCCACATCATATAATAAAACAATGGTCTTTATACTCTTATTATGTTATTTATTAGACACGTCTTTCCTCGCCCCTGAAGTGCAATTAAAGGAATCCAGTCTTTTATCTAAAAAAAAAAATAGATAATATCAGTTACAGTGTAAGGAAAAATAAAGTGGTCGATACGACTGATCCGTTGCCATCTTTTTAAATTTGCGAAAATCTGAACGCAAAACTAAAACATCAAGGCGGATTCATAAACCACAAATACACAAAATTTGCCCAGTTAAAACTCCGCGACCTAATATCTTCAGAACGGATAGAGATACTGAAATTTTGTAAACGCCATTGTGTTTAGCTTGAAGGGGGAAGCTTAACTTAGTACACTGCAAATACGACGCATAGTAATGTGAGGTGGTGCTCCATCTTGCTGCAACCACATGTTTGTTTTGGTCTCTAGAGGTACATTTTCCAACAACAGCGTTAATTCTTCCTGAAGAAAGTGCGCCAGTGAGTGTATTTTCGAAAAAATACATATGGTCCTATTAATTAACTTTTTTTATTTTTTTTTTTTTTTATAATACTACATCATACATTTATACCCCAAATAGTTTGGTTCCTCGTCCTCGTCTTACGTACGCAATATGGATTAGTGTCTGACCAGCAGTGCAAATTGTTTGTGTTAAGTAGGCACGCCATTATTATGAGAACGATTTCGTCAGTTTTTCAAAAAATTATTGTCTTCTTCGTATTGTATAATTCACGAAGCAATAAATGTCAGTCTTCTATATAAATCTCCTAAAGATGGAAATCAGTTTAAATAAAAAATAAAACTTTTGTGGTGACCAAATTTGAATTAAAATTTGGCACTGGAAAAATTAACAGCGGCGCAAAACCACATTTGAATAATTTGAATTTGAAAAAAAACCTCAATCCAAAACAAACGTTAAACATAGGCAACCATGTGCACGTTAGCGCTTTTGGGTAGTGTGTAGTTCTACTTGAAGTTTTGGTTAGAGGCTTGGTAGCGACAAGTTGGCTTTGCTTGGTAGAGGAAGGGGGTCGCGACCCTGGCACTGTTGGTTTGGGTCTCTGTGCGAAAAGCCTGGTGAAAAGACGCGGTGAGTAGGTTAAGTTTAGTTGGCTTGGTAGTTAATAAAAGAGAGGAAGTCTTTGTTTAACGACAATTAATCGTAACGACGACGACGCCACATTTTTCCCAAACACACGCAGCTAACTTTTGCGACGCTAACATGTGCGGTAAATTTGTTTTAGTGTTTGTAAATTTACAGTTCATGTTAGGATTTTAATCGTTAACTGGTTCTAACACAATTTAACAGACATTAGATTTGTTTAGATAAACACTTGCTAGGAGATTTCATGAAATTCACTGAGTCAGGGCTCTTTGATTTTGTTTGTCTAATTACGAATAACGATGCTAATACTTAAGTGTCGCAGTTAAATTAACCTAACGTTGCCCCACTGCGATAATATAATATCGTGGACTGGCAGGGGGATTAAAGATTTCTCTTCTTAGAAAGTTATCAATTATCATCGTTATTATCATCGTTATCATCATCACATAACCGAGACGCATTTTCCTCGCAACGTTGCAAATTATATCACCGAGACATTTTATTTCTCGCAACGTTGGATAATTACATCACTGAGGAGCTTTCCTCGCAACGGCTGATGCATTTTGTGTTAATTTATCATGTGTTTTGTTGGGGTAAACAATCCACGATATAAACTCTCAAAGTTAATTGTTTTAAGTAACCAGTCACTTTTAACATAATGTAAAGTCTTTCTTGGAATCGTTAATAAAGTGTGGCATAATTTAGCACCATTGGAATTCTTTATTCTGGCAGCGGCATTTATTCATGTTGAAAGGGTATTTTTAAGCCGAACACATGTTTGAACTGTAAAATCTTATTGAACTTATGCAGCTGAATAACTTCACTTTTAAAAATTAAACAATAACTCGAATGGACATAAAATACTGACTTAATTTTGTTAGCTTTGCAATTTTTCACTTTATACAATTTTTCTCTATCTCACAATTTTAACTTCAGTAATTTTCTTTGTTGTATAATTTAAATTGAACATAAATTTTCATGCTCTGCAGTTACTAACCTCACATATTTTTTTTGTCTGCACAAGTTTTACTTCACGCCAGATCTTTTGTTTTTATAATTTATAAATCTTTTCTAAGTTTTTGTTTTGTAAATACTTTGTTAATGAATGTTTCCATCATATAAATTATCTGATGTCCAATCTTAATCTCAGATAAGAAGTCTTTGCTGTTTAAAAATTTCAGGAGAGTGTATGGCGAATTTAAATGTTGTTTATTGCACTTTTTGAAACTTTGACACTTATTCAGTTGCAGTTTAATATCAGAGTCATAAATTAAACATTTAAAATGGAATTGAGGTAAATAATAAGAAATTCGTAGCAGAAGTGGAGGGCGGGGTTCCTAGTCGAGCTTGCGGGCTTAATGGCGCCAAATGCACAAAGGATGCAGGCTAGAATAGAAGTCAGAAGCGGTCGAGATGACGCAACGTTGTCGGCTTGTCCAAAATGGAGAAGTGCTTTGAGACAGTGCTTGCGATAGATAGAATCACCGTCGTGGGTAGAAGAATAGCCACGACCAGGAGGCCCAAACTCAGCTCGTGTTACAACGCCCCCTATGGGTATTGTTGTTGTGCTCTAGAATGAAACTGACATAGTTCGAGCGCCCCACTCTTATAGCACTGTAGTGCCGCTGCCGCTGTATAGTTTTTTATTAAAATTTTGTGCTCTTGTTGACTGCCATAATTTAAATTTGCCGCCACGCGCCCGTAATAATGTGTGTAATTGCATCCAGTTACTTTAATTTTGCTTTGTTTTTATTAAATTTGTGATTTTCAAATATTTGCATTGATTCAGAACAGAAAATCAAGACGGATTTATAACCTACTAGTGTATGAGTATTTTATTTTATAAAAATTAAACTAAATTTACTGTTTTTGAAACACAACATTGTATAATTTCATTTCCAATGTCAAACTTATCAGGTTGAATTTTAAACCTAAATATCGCACTAAAATTCAAATTGAGTCAATTTTGTTTCAACAATCGTAGACAACCTTTCAAAAATCTGTATAACGGTTTCTTTTTGTTAATTTTGTGTTTTTTGGGATGTGTAGAGTCCGTTTTAGAGGTGCAAATACTTGTTTCTGCATGTGATTCCTCAGTTAAAATAATTCACAGACCAGTGTAAAAATGTGTAAATAAACAAAAACCTGAAATACTAGTTTATAAATACATAAATATTAATAACCTCGACGTTAATAATTGACCCATACTTAGATAAGTAAGATGATTATGGTAAACATACGTGACTGCACGTGAACTAGTTGTCGACTTCATTCTAATAAACTAGGGTCACTCCTGCTGCAAAATGAAAATAAAAACTATCGCCATTTTTTTCTAGTAAGCTTCCATTTTTATCACTTCAAATAATTAATAAAACATTGTAGTTGCATCCTGCATTCCCAAAATCTAGTTTATGCCAACAAACCCCACATCATCGTGATCATGGCCGACGATATGGTAAGTCCTCTATCACTATTTTTATCAATATTAATTGATAACTCATAGGGTCACTACGATGTCGGCTTTCAAGGTTCTAATCAAATTCCGACGCCTAATTTAGACGCTTTAGCTTACAATGGTATAATTTTGAATAGATTCTACACCCAGAATTCTTGCACTCCTTCACGGACGGCCTTCCTGACTGGGAATTACCCTATAAGATCAGGAATGCAAGGATACCCACTGAAAGCTGGAGAAAACCGGGCATTGCCACACGATATGCCTACCATGCCCGAACAAATGAAAAAATTAGGTTATAAAACACATCTTGTGGGTAAATGGCACTTGGGGGCAGCGACTAGAAACAATACACCCACGGGTAGAGGCTTTGACTCCCATTTTGGGTACTGGCATGGATTGATAGGGTACTTTAACTATCTGTCTTTTAGACGGGAACATAATCACACCGTAAGTGGGTGAGGAGAAATTTAGCTAAACTGGTTAATTTTTAGGTATTGTTTTAGTTAACTAGAGGTTTAGATCTACATGACAATTTAAAACCAGTGTGGTCCGGTCAGGGTAAATACGCAACCAATTTATTTACAGAGAGGGCGCTTGAAATCATCGATAATCACAATGTAGAGGTACCTTTATTTCTGATTTTGTCACACCTGGCACCTCATGCTGGTAAGGACGGTCTAGAACTAGAAGTACCTAATGCGACCTTAACCAACCTCAAGTACTCTTACATCAACGATCCGAGACGCAGACGGTATGCAGGTTAGTACTACATTATACCACCATCAATGGTACTATTTTCCCACAAACAGACATGGTTAATTTAATGGACGAATCCACCGGTCGCATCGTCCAGAAATTAAACCAGAAAAACATGCTACAAAACTCCATCGTACTATTTTTCTCTGATAACGGTGGACAACCCGTTGGACTGTACCAGAATTCGGCCTCCAACTGGCCTCTAAGAGGAGTATAACACTTTTAACTGGTTTTGCAAGACATAATCAACAATTTTAGACAAAATTTGTCGATTTTGAAGGCGGCGTGAGAACAGCGGCTGCTATTTTTAGCCCTTTGTTCAAAAAGCGGGGTTATGTTAACACACAGTTCTTCCATTTGACGGACTGGTTGCCGACTTTTTATTCAGCAGCTGGTGAGTATTTTTCACGAGAAGGAACACTAATGATTTTTGATAGGTGGCAACCTGAAGGACTTAGGTATGATAGATGGTATCGACCAGTGGAAGGTACTAACCGAGAATCTAACGTCTAGTCGTACCGAAATCTTGATAAATATAGACGAGGTTAAAAATTCTTCTACTATTATCGGGAACAACGGGCGGCACAAGTTGATTCAAGGTGAGTATGATAATGTACAGTACGTTTGGTTAAAGTGAGACTTAGGTACTTTTGGACATGATTATTTTGATAAGTACTTCGGGAGTAGTGACCATCAGACACCAGGAACGCCACCTTACAATCATGAAAACGTTCTGAAAAGTGTTACCAATCAGGCTATCACAAGTGTTGTTGATGGTACTATGACACGAGAAAAAATTGATGAGCTTCGATCCCAGACTGACTTATCCTGGTGCAGGGATTTTAACAAAACATTTGATTTTAAGTGTACAGATGGGTGTTTGTTTGATCTGATTGATGATCCATGTGAAACTACGAATATTCTGGAGAAAGAAGTGGAAATACGAGAAGAGTTAAAACGAAAATTGGAGAAGTACAGATTAGTATTAGTTCCACAAAGGAATAAAGACTTCGATTTGAGTTCTGACCCGATTTTTTATAATAACACATGGTGTACGTGGCTTGACGATGATTGGTGTTTTAAGACTACCAATATAGAACGTATATATTAGCGAATTTTGTACAATAAAATTATTTTCTAGTTTGTGTAAATTAAGTTTTTCAGTAACTTTGAAACATTTAATTTAAGTACGACCTGGTACGCTCTCTACCGGAAAAGAAAAAAGTAAATGTTTCTCGTAATCGTCGTTGTACACGTGCGTGACCCTTATTTCTCTCAGTGTTTAGCATAATCAACAGAACTACCCATAGGTCAGTATCTTTCTCTCGATGCTTCTTGAACATTTGGTCCTTCGAACCGGATCGCGACTCGTAATTTCACACCGGATTTTTATCATTTTTCTCGGTGGACACTCTATTGCATGACTTCCGAAGAAGAAACATTTCTTCAATCTAAAATTAAAAAATTTGCTGGTCTGAAATTCATTCAGGCAAAGCTATTTGTTTAAATGCAAAACTGTTACGATTCCGTGAAAAAAACTACAGATGATTATCATTATCACTTTTGTGTTTTTCTATACAGATAGTCGTAGTTACATGAAGGTTGGAGGTAAAAAGCGCCCTGCAGCGGTGATTCATCGCTTAACTAAATCTCTTTTCACGCGCAGCACAGCAATACCTTTCATTACAATACCTCCGCCCTTAGTTTAAAATTTTCCACATGATAATTTTTACATTTAAAATTTTTCTCAATAGTATCCGTTCGGCCTATCCATCTACCAGGAAAAATTTATTTTAAATACTGTCGCACTTGATGTCCAAAATGTGGTGGAGCACCGTCTTGTTGAAATCGAAGAGTTTCTGCTGGTAACTCCGGGTTTGGGTAATTGGGAAACAATTCTCTGAGTTTAGGCACTATACGTTCCAGCAACAGCCTTAAATATCTGTCAGAAATTAAATTCCCATTAATAAAAAAAAGACCAATTACATGGTACGGTATGGATTTGTGCCAGGCTAGTACTTGCAGTTGTGTCTGTTCTCATGACCATTTAAACAAAAAGTAGATTCGTTAGAAAACAAAATCCTGTTGATAAAATTTCCGTCTTGTATTCTGTTCATAATAATTTCCGTAAATTCGACTCAACCATCAAAATCATCTTCGTTTAGCTCTTGTACCAAATGGACTATGTATGAGTGAAACTTTTCCTGTTTCATTACACTGGTCAACAAAATTCAATTTTTTCTCTCTAACTTTGACATAATTGTAATGTTTTCGTTTAATTTGTCTCTGTGTTTGTAACAAAGGGCATAAACCTTACAACTTAGCTCAATTAAAAATAAAAATGCATATTTGATGTTAAAAACAAAAAAGCAGGTAAAACAGTTTAATTTTTGTATCTTTAACGGCAAAAAGTGATGTATTAACAAAAGAACAACCATAATTAAGAAAAAAACAACGATTGTAGATTAAAAAAAGAAAAAAACAAAAGAAACAGCTAAGACCGACGTTTTTTCGGTTGCCTACTATGGATTTCATTGGAGATCTCTCGCTTGATGGTCCCGCAGTATTTTGCGAGCATTTAGGGGTTCCATCGATCTTGGTAACCTTTTTGTATCCACAAAATGCCCAGATGGAAACGTTCTCTATGTCCGTCACTCACGTCGTCATAATTTTTGGGGAAAAAATCAAGATGCGAATACATAAAATGCACTTTTAAGAATATGTTAATTTTAAATTTTTTATATGATGATAACATGTTTTCTACTTACTAAACGTAGTTTTCTTATTGTTTCCCAAGAAGTTTGTAGCAATTTGATCACAAAAAAATACACCTTATAGAAAGTTTCCTATTACTTAATAGTACGATTTTTGTATTTTTCAAAGGATAATATTGAAGATTACTTTTAAATGAGAGCTAAGTTTGGGTTTAGCCGTTTATAATATCATTTAAAATTGTTAATTAAATAATAATTGGCTGCTATAATAAAAGTTAGAGCTTAGCTGTTGACCAGTGTTATTGTTTGAATTGATTTTCTACTAACATTAAGGGTATTTTCATTATTTTGTAGCAGTTTTTGGACTTTTCTTAACATTTCCAGTTTCATTAAATCTTTGTAGGGTTTCTGAAACAACAACAAAGATTAAACCCCACCCACCCACCCCGATCTCAATTCTGACGAATTTTTCATTCGTAATCAGACCGAGGGACGGAGTTTAATTGCAAAATTCATATTTGTGTAGAAAATTTTGGCCTTTGAAAAACACATTTCACGTGGGAATTTCTTGTAGCGAGAGAGGATTTTACAACTATGCACCGCCCCTCGACTTACGATAATTAAAAAAATCATCATATTTGAGATAGGGTGGGTGGGCGGGACTTATATTTTTCTCCATGTTTCCTTAATATACGTGGTCTTCTTTCCTTACAAGAAACTAAAACATATTTAACTATGGTGTTGTTCAAAGCAAACTATATTAAAAAAAGGCCCGATCTCAATTGTGATGAATTTCTCATTCGTTGTTACATCGAGAAGTGAAGCGTAATTACAAAATCCGTATTACAAAAATTCACAGGGGCAGGTTTTAAGTTTATTGTTGTGAAAAGAAAACTACGTATGTTAAAGATAAGCAAAATATAAGCCCCGCCGACCCACCCTATCTCGATTGTGATGATTTTTTTATTCGTCGTGAACCGGGAGACGGAGCTTAACTGCAAAATCTATATTTTTCTACAGAAAATTGCTATATGAAACATGTTTTTAAGTAATCGTGTTTTTTAAAAAAGAAACCATGTTTTGAGTAAAGAAGAGAGCCAAATATTAAATGTCATTGCGTGAATTTTTTATTGGTTGTCGGAACTAGAGGCGGAGCATAATTGCAAAATCCATATTTCCCCATAGAAATGTACCCTTTTTGAATATGTTTTAAGTTTCTTGTTGTGAAAATAAAACTGCGTATACTAAGAAAAAAGGGCTAAATATTAGCCCCGCCCGCCCGCCCTATGTCAATCGGGGGGCAGAGCTCAATTGCAAAATTTTTACTTTCCTACAACTAATTACCATCTTAAATACGTTTTTAAGTAATCGTATTGTTAACAGAAAACTACATACATATACTTCTGTACTGAATAAAAAAAAAACATAGTTAAACACCTACACTCGCTCCGACCTCAATTTTGGTGAATTTTTCATTCATTGTCAGACCTAGAAGCAAAGTGTAATTGCAAAATCCATATTTCTGCACAAAATTTTACCCTTTTAAACACATATTTCACATGATAATTTCTACTAGAGAGACGAGGATTTTGCAATAAAGCTCTGCCACTTCAACTCACTATGAATAAAAAAAATCATCGCGTTTGAGAAAGGGTGGGTGGGCGGGGCGTATATTTTGTCCATTTTTTGTTAATATACGTAGTCTTCTTTTCCTTACAAGAAACTAAAAAGATCTTTAACTATTGTGTATTATTTTCGACATGTTTTAAGTTTCTTGTTATGAAATGAAGGCTAAGTATGTTAAAAAAGAAGCAAAATATAAGCCCCGCCCACCCACCCTATCCCAATTGTGATGATTTTTTTTATTGGTCGTGAGCCGGGAGACGGAGCTTAATTGCAAAATCCGTACTTCCCTGTAGAAAATTACCATTTTGAATATGTTTTAAGTTTCTTGTTGTGAAAAGAAGGCTACGTATGTTAAAAAGAAGTAAAATATAATACACGGTAGTTTATGTTACCTGGCTTTATATTATCTAACTTTCTTAGTTCAGGTTTCGGGTTTGGAATAGGAGAAATGGGAGTTGCTGAAGAGGTTCTGGGCGGTTCTTCGTCACAGTTCTGAATTGCGGGATATTTGTTTTTCTCCCGGTTTACGCATTTTTATGTTGATATCAGCGGTTTGTTGAACACCCTGTTGAGCTCTGGCCCTTAGTTGATCGATATGGTGCTTCCATATGGTATTATTTGGCAGTGTGCAGAAATAATTCCTTCGCCCTAAGTTTTGTTATTGTGGCTCTTGCTAAGTTTTTTTGCTTGGCTGCCTGTAATCTCTTGCCCATACTCCATCTTCCTCTTTTAGGTATCTGTTTTGCGTGTGGTCTGTTTGGGTCTCCGCATAGCTTCGGTTTCCAAGTTTCAGTAAATAAGGAAGGGCTGTTATGTCTGTTCCCAACATTCGTTTTGGTACTTTTGTCTTTAAGGAGAATGGGAGGGTGCGTGGTTTGAAGAATTTGGATAAGCGAATAGAAATGTTTCTGCCCTGGTGGGAATCGAACCACACCTCTCCCGCTTGCCACTAGACTACAGAGCGGCTTATCTTTACTTCGCTTACCCAGCTATTATTGTGCCGCCACAAAGAAGATGGGAGTTCTACAACCAAGCGTTATTGTGAGTGCAGCAACATGACTTTTGTAACCACCTGTTCTCAAAAATGCCAGGGAATTCATTTACAAGATTATTTAAACAGTGCTTATCTGAGGAAATGTGTAGTGATGCTACAATGCTACTGCCTTCATTTGCTAGCTTAAATTTAAATATTCTTTAAAAATCTCTACCTAACAGACAGTATTTTTTATGTGGAACTACTTGAACAGTATAGTTTTCACAACATTTATTTTCAAAGTGCGACGAAACTCCAGTCAATGGACGGCGTCCGGTAACTATCCAGAATTTCTCCGATATCGCGTGAGGGTGGCGTGCCTCGGTGCCAAGCCTTGGGCCGACTAGTGCCGCTAAAAAAGTAGCACGTCTGGCCGACCTAGGCTTATGCGGACACCTTCACGCCACTGGGAGTGGCGCCTCCGGTCGGGAGCGGCGGTGCTCGGACGCCAGCTCGTTCTCTGGCGACGGAGCACCGGGTGGCATTAAAGGCGGAGACACGGATCTCCAGGTGGTCTGGTTTTTTTTCCCCGCCACCAGCTACACGGCTAAAATAATCTTATTACTAGAATAATCTTAAATAATTACAAATCGATTTTACAAATTAAACAGAAATAATAAGACAGCACGGTAGTTTCCTCCTGGACGGTGAGTTCCTTCGGGACGGGTTCCTCCTGATCCTGGGGGTGGTGACCCTGGAACAGGAAATAGCGCGGGGATGTTGTTTAAGAAAATGGAATCCAGAAATGAACTGAAATATAGTTGAAAAGAGTTGTGAGAAAGTGTTTCGATATTATGGAGCGGCATTAGGCAAATAGAAGGAACAAGACAAAGAACTGACCACTTGTCCAACATATATTAGGAAACATTTTGAGGTAACGAACGGCGAAATCTTAGAAACCAAAGAAATGTGACGAATATATAATACCGAGTCAAATGCGGTCATGAAGAAAGAGAAAACAAATTTTAGAATGTTTTTGGAGGAAAGATGTAAGAGATACATACAGGGTTATTCAGCTAAGATGACCCATTTGTGTTTTTAAAATAGACAACCCATAATACCAATTCCACTTGAGCCTGGATTACAAAAAATGTTTCAAAATTGAATTGTATTTGACATTTGACTTCACAGCGTTCCTTCGACTTTGCGACGAAATTCCGGTGGGACGGACGGTGACGGTGCGGAATTTCGGCGATAACGCGTGGAGATGGCGTACCTCGGTGCCATGCCTTGTGCCAACTACTGCCGCTTAAATAGAAATACATCTGGCCGACCTAGGCTTACTCGCTACCGAGAGTGGCGCCTTCGGTCGGGAGCGGCGGTCGCTCGAGCACCACCTCCCTCTCCGGGGGAAACAAAAGAATACAATAAAACGGAAGAATATTTTAAACAATAAATCGGGTTTATTCCCTGCTACCAGCTACACGGCTAAAATAGATCTTACGGCTAATTCTTAAATAATTACGGAACGTCGTTCCTTCCTGGACGGCGAGTTCCTTCTTCTTCCTCCTGGTGGCGACCCTAGAACGGTACAGTTTTTCGCTTGGGGGCGGCGATTCAAAAACGGGAAACAGCTACGCCTCCGAAGTCCAAGAAAGAATCCCCTTTTTCGACCGCGTCGGCGGTACGCGTCCCGGTTTCTGGCCAGCGAAAATTTGCTTCGCCTCAACGTATGTATCAATTTTTCGCGGTTTATTGTTATTTCATCTTTTGCTTTGTTTGCGTGTTAAAAATCAGTTTTTTTCACAACTAATGTGTGAGTTTTTCTGTTTACGGTATTTTTACTAAGAATAGCTTTTTCTGAAAAAACAAAGTACATATTCGTAATAACGTCTTACTATCGAAATGATATAAAAGTAGGTTGAGTTTAGTAATATTCAAGTTGATTATGTATGCTAGAGGTTCAAAAAGAGTTATCTGACTTTACCGTAGAGGATACGCAGTTTCGAAAAACTTTAAACGTCTGTCTAAAAATTTTTGAAGAAAATGGATTTGTGGCACGAAAACCTGGAAGTGGCCGTCCAAAGAAGCGAACTTTAGAACTTATTGAAGCAGCGATAGAAGTAATTGGAAAAATCGCAGGTACTTCTATTCCGTCATTTGTCACAACAACTTGGTTTGTCTGTTGGTATCTTTAATTCGATTCTAAGAAAAGGCCTTCATTTGTTTCCCTATGCTCACATCTTAAGAGTTCGATAATGATAATATTTAGAACATTTTGTTCGACTGTGGTCTAATTAATCATTTTAGTCCCCTGTTTTGAGAAGACAAACTCATTCAAATCAAACTAATTTCTACGTGACATTCTTTCGAATAAATACTTCAGCTTCAGGTTGCTAATACCTAGTGCTGAAGGACATTTTATCCCGTTTTGCATTTTTTTCAAAAACAAATACTGCGCTTTTTTAGAATTTTTTTCATTACTTTATTATAACTGTATATAATTTATGCAATACCATCAAAATTACAGCGTAATCTTATATTTGCAACAGCTGCACTAAATTTTTCTAATGAATAAAGCAAATTCTTTTACGTTTATTGTTTTATTTTAAACGAAAGAGTGTAGAAGTGGGGGGATTTTAAATTAACTAACTAGACTAAAAAGACACAGAACAGAAGAAAAATAGTAAAAAAAATGTAAAACCAAAAAAGAACGAAAGCATGCAAACTAGCGATGAGTTAAGTTAATAAAAAGTCAAAACCAAATGATTTAAAGTATGTGGAAAATAATGATAATAACAAGTGCTCAAGTTTTGACAAACAAATTTTATGATGTGAAATAAATACGTAAACAAAACACAACAAATGAATTATTAAGTGGAAATTTAAGTAATAATATAAAAATTAAGTGAAAGTGTAAACTCAAAATAAATTTTTAGTTTAGTTATAATTAATTAAGAAAAAATAAAATGGAGTAATAATAGACAACAAAAAAAGGAAACAAAATTTTAACCTATAGTGTTTTTGCAGGAAATAAAGTGAAATAAAAATAATTTATAAAACAAAAACGTCATTTTGTGAGTCCTATAATAAACACATATAAGAACTCCAACTTTTTAACGATCTGTGCAATAAAAACTGAAGAAGTCATAGCTTAAAGTAGAAAGTAGTACAGTAGGTACACCGTCCCTGATTGATTTTTTCTAATCCTATGTGTAGATAATATTAAAACAAGTTTCGCAAGTTATTCTTATGTTTTTTTCAGCGACACCACAGTCTGAATACTGACAGCAAAAGAACCGTACATGTTCTTGTGAAGGTGCCACACTTGCGAGCTTTTTTTTCCTTTTTTAAAAATTGTTGCGTTCGTTTAGTGCCAGTGACCAAATTGACGTATAAAATTTAATGGTAAATAAAACGAAACTGCTTTTTATACGACCGACCAAATACGTAGAGATACATTTAAATTAGCCCAAATTAAGTTGTATATGTTTTTTAGTTTCGGTGGACTAAAACGGTGTTTAAAACTTCGCTCGCCAAGTATTTTCTTTGCGATGTTTTAACAAAAACACACTTCAATTAATTGTTTAATATCAAAAATGTTTTGAGTGTTTTTTATTATATTAGAAAATTAAAATAATTAAAATAATGAATGTCACTGACCCAGTTACACACAATAGACCTAAGTCTGTAAATCCGTCTAATCTTTTATTAGCATGTATAATATAGCATATCATAAAACCATATCTAAAAATTCATTCATTGTTTTTGATCTCTTACATTAAAACTAAAAAAGATGCCAGCTCTCAAAAGACGTTATTGGATTATGGCTACCATCACCATCGCGGCAGTACTTCTAGGAATCATCCTATAGTAAGTACCCTTACAGTACCATCCCTTATCACTAACAAAATTTCAGTTTTGTATTAGTACCAGAGGATGCCCCCATCACGAGAAAGAAACCTCACATTATCATCATTATGGCGGACGACTTGGTACCACAAACCTATCCTTAAATTTATAGTGACAATAACTGTAACAATACTTCAGGGCCGCAACGACGTAGGTTTCCACGGCTCCAACCAAATCCCAACCCCTAACATAGACGCCCTAGCATACAACGGCATCATCTTAGACAAATTCTACACCCAGTATGCTTGCACCCCTTCAAGAGCAGCCCTCCTCACCGGAAACTACCCCCTAAGGTACGGCATTCACGGTTCTCCAATCCGAGCCGGCCAAAACCGATCTCTACCCGAAGACGTGACAATAATGCCCGAACATTTGAAAAAACTAGGCTACAAAACACATCTAGTGGGTAAATGGCATCTAGGGGCTGCTTACAAGAAGAGCACCCCTTTGAGAAGAGGGTTTGATACCCATTTTGGGTACTGGCATGGGTTTGTGGGTTATTTTGACTACACGGCTATATATGAATTGACAAATGAAACGGTAAGTGCGTCCTTTGGTGGCTTTTATCATAATGGTACTTTTACAGAATGCGAAAGGGTTGGATGTGCATGATGGGTTCCAACCCGTGTGGTCGGCCCAAGGAAAATATGCGACTGAGTTGTTTACTGAGAAGGCTATAGAGGTGATAGATGGGCATGATGGGGACGAACCGTTGTTTTTGTTTTTGGCGCATTTGGCACCACATACTGGGACCGATGGAACTGAGTTGGGGGTGCCTAATAGTACCTTGAGTGATATTAAATATGAATATATCAAAGATCCGAGGCGAAGACTCTATGCAGGTGACGCTACTAATCGTTGGGTACTTTGGGAATAATGTATGAATATAACAGATGTGGTAAACTTGATGGATGAGTCTGTAGGCAAAGTTGTCGAAAAGTTATCCGACAAGAATATGTTACAAAACTCCATTATCCTGTTCCTGTCTGACAATGGTGCCCAAACTGTGGGTGTTTACGAAAATTCCGGATCCAACTGGCCTCTACGAGGGTTAAAATTGACTGAATTTGAAGGTGGCGTGAGGGCGGCAGCGGCCATATTTAGCCCCCTGTTTGAAAAAAGTGGCTATGTCAATAAAGAATTGATACATTTGACGGATTTGCTGCCCACTTTTTTTGCAGCCGCTGGTTCGTAACCTAATAATTAGTTTTCTCTTCTAATGACTTTTCTAGGTGGAGATCCTGAAACGCTTGGTACTATAGATGGCATTAACCAATGGGACACTCTCTCCAAGAACTTATCAACCAATCGTACTGAAGTACTTTTGAATATAAACGAAGTTGAAAATGCGTCTGCTATTATAACGACTAACGGCCGCTACAAATTTCTTCAAGGTACTACTTTGGTATTACTTAATTGAGTACTCAGTTTTACACACAGGTACTTACAATTCGGGTTTTTACGACCACCATTACGGAGATAGTGGACGAGGACCTGAAGTACCACCATTCTCTGTTAATACAATTTTGGAAAGTAGTACTTATGAGGCAATTCGTGGCATAGTTGCTGCACCTTTAACCAACGACAAAGTTAAGGAACTGAGGGCCCAAACTGATTTGTCTTGGTGTAGAAATGACAACGAAACGTACCCAATGGATTGTAGGAAAGGGTGCCTATTTAATTTGGATGAAGACCCGTGCGAAATTACCAACATTATTGAAACAGAAAAAGAGATAGAAGGAAAATTAAGAGGAAGACTTGATGATTTTAAAAAAGTAATGGTACCACAACCGGAAGAAGTGTTTGATGAGGCTTCTAATCCCATTTTTTATAATAATACGTGGTGTACGTGGCTAGACGATGACTTGTGTTTCAAAACACCTAAGCTACAAAAATAAAAGTAAAAATTAAATAAAGTATTTGTGTACAAATATATGACACTTGTTTGTTGAAAGACCACGTTTTCAATTATTTATAATATAAACTGCATCGTTTATCCACTTTTGCTACAAGAACGACATCTATAGGTCATTAAACTTGTCTTATTTTTGTATCAGGTAGGAAAACATTATCATATCATCAATTATCACAAGCAGGTGGTTTTTATCAATCTAATAAAAAGTTCTGTTTGTGTTGTTGCTTACTGTACACGAGATGTAAGTAAACTAATAAAATTATTTAAACAATAAAATTATATATTATTGTTGTTATTAGAATATGGAAAATTTAAAGAAAAAAGTAATGGTGCACAAGTTGAGATGTTTTGTGTGTTGTGGAGCGATGACTGGGAAGACTTTGATGTGCAAAAATGGCCACACACTGTGCGAAAATTGTGGGAAAAAAAATAAAAATTGTCTCGTATGCAACGAAAAAATTATATCTAAAAGCAACCTCTTGTTCGATGTCATGAAGACATTTTTGGGTGATGACACTGACGACAAACGTGATGGGAAGAAAATGTAAAAAAATCGGGGACAGTCGTTATTGTTTATGGTGTTATATCTGATTTTTGACATGTAGAGTTTTTTTGAAATATGTTTATTATTACATTTTATTAAATTCAAGACAACTAATTATAATAATAGAAAAAGAGCTTGTTTCTGTTTCTTGATGACAAATAATTTTTTTTAAACTACAAAGTCATGACCTTACGCAAACTATAAAATTTAAATTCATTGTTTGTCAACATCATTAGGGAACTGACGCGAAGAAATTGAATCAGTTGCATGTTCTTGAACTCGTTTAACGTTTAGTAAAGACGTCACTCGACATATTTACATACACTTTTGCAAATAATTTGTTTAGAGATAGCTTTCGACGTCCATTCATTGCTTCGTTAGTACCTGTCGAAGACGGTTTTTCGATTTTTAAATTTCCATGAAATAAACATAACCAGTTTAAAATCTTCTATCGGCGTCCCCAATCTGCATTAACATGTTTTTCAATTTCGAGCTTTCACTTAATACTAGAATTTATTTTGTTTGTATTTGCAGTAAAAAGTAGGCGAATTTATTGGTTTGGTCCAAGAGGAAAATATGTAGTCTCATTACCATCTACAGTTGACAATCATTACTACACTAGTGCGGTTTATATTACATGGGTATCGTTATTAAGAAGGAAGGAAAAAAAGGGGTTTAATTAAAAGTTTTTAATGATTTGTGGGTTCAGTTGCGGCAACGTTGAAAATAAAAGCCAACATATTAGTAGTATTAATTTCTATTCCTGATTAATTGTTTAATATACGACATATTGAGACAGTCCGACAAAAAAATTCAGAATTCCGTTCATACACGTTTTCTTCAAAAATTCTCCGATAGATAAATTGTATTATTTAAAATAACACTTTTTGAGGTAAAAATTTATTTTTCTAACCAGCCATTTATGTAACGTGAAAGATCCTGCAGATGTGGAGACATCTAGTGTCTTTTTAAGAAAGTGATTTTTGAGGCTTTTGGTGTCTTTTTTTTAGAAATATAAAAGAATCTTGAGGCTTTCTAGTGCCCTTCGTTTTTTAAAAATACGAGACAATCTTGGGGGTCATTGGTGTCTTTTTAAGTTGTGAAAGAATTTGGGAGGATTTCAGTGTCTTTTTTCCAAGAATGTGGAAGAACCTTGGGGGTCTCTAGTGTCTTTCGTTTTTTAAGAATACGTAAACAATCTTGGTAGGCCACTTGAGTCTTTTATCGGAAATAAGAAAGAATGTTAGGAGTCCTTAGTGACCTTTTCGGGAATGTGATAGAATGTTGAAGGCTTTTAGTGTTTTTTTTCTAGAATATGAAAGAACCTTGGGGATACCTAATGTTTTACGTTTTTTAAGAGAACGAAACAACTTAGGGGCGCTTAGTCTGTTTTCTTAGAAACAAGAAAGAATGTTGGGGGTTTCTAGTGTCTTTTTTGGAATATAAAAAAATCTTGAGGGCCCATGGAATTTCTTTGTAAGAATTTAAAAGAATTTTTGGGACTTTTGGACTCTTTTCAAGAATATGAAAAAATCTTGGAAATCTCTAGTAGCTTTTTTAGTAACGTGAAAGTGTCACTTTAAGAAAGTGAAAAATTTTGGAGGCTTCTGGTGTCTTTTTTTCAAGAATGTTGAGGGTTCCTAGTGTCCTTCGTTTTTAAAGAATACGAAACAATCTTGAGAGCCCTTAGCGTGTTTTTTTTTTAACAAGAAAGAATGTTGAGGATCCCTAATATCTTTTTTAACAATGTGAAAGAATTTTAGGGACTTTTGGTCTCCTTCCAAGAACATAAAAAATCTCTAGTGTCTTTTTAAGAAAGTGAAAAATTTTGAAGACTTTTGGTGTTTTTTTTTCAAGAATATGAAATAATCTTGAGAGATCCTAGTGTTCTTCGTTTTTTTAAGAATACGAATAAGAAGAATCTTGGGAGCATTTAGTGTTTTTTTTTTTTTTTCAGGAATAAGAAAGAATGTTAGGGGTCCCTGTTGTTTGTCTTTTTGGAGGCTTTCGATGTATTTTTTTCAGAATATGAAAAAATCTTGGGGGTACTTAGTATCTTACGTTTTTTAAGAAAACGAAACATTCTTAGGAGCGTTTAGTGTATTTTTTAGAAACAGGAAAGAATGTTAGGGTCACTAGTACCTTTTTTAGGAGTGTGAAAGAATCTTGGGGGCCCATTGTATCTCTTTTTAAAAATGGGAAAGAATTTTAGGGACTTTTGGTCTCTTTTCAAGAATAGGAAAAAATCTTGGGGATCCCTAGCAAAAGAATCCTGCAGACATGGAAACTCCAAGTGTCACTTTAAGAAAGCGAAAAATTTTGGAAGCTTTTGGTGTCTTTTTTTCAAGAATCTTGAGGATTCCTAGTGTCCTTCGTTTTTAAAGAATACGAAACAATCTTGAGAGCACTTAGTGTCTATTTTAAAAGTGTGAAAGAATCTTGAGGGTTTCTAGAGTCTTTCGTTTTTTAAAAATAAGAAACATTCTTGGGAGTATGTTGTCTTTTTAAGAAAGAATGTTGTAGGTCCATTCTATTTTTTGTAGGAATGTTAAAGAACCTTGGGGCACATAGTGGTTTTAGGAGTGTGAATGAGTATTAGAGATTCTTAGTGTTTTTTTTTTTTAAGAATATGAAAGAATATTGGAGACCTCTAGTGCATTTATTTTTCTTTAAGAATACGAATTTTGGGGATCCTTAGTGTCTTCTTTGGAAAGGTGAAATAATGTCCCTGGTGGTTTTTTATAGGCATGTGAAAGACCCTAGGGAGCTCTGAGTATCCTTTTTTAAGGAATGTCAAAGAATGTTTGGACCCTTGGAGTTCTTTCTTAGGGAGTGTGAAAAATTCTTAATGATCGCTAGTTTCTTCCTTTTTTAAAAATAAAATCAATAACAAGAAATCTTACGGATTCGTTAGTGTCTCTTACAATCTTGGGAGCTCTTAGTGTCTTTTTTTTAGTCAAAACGAATTTTTGAATAATATGAAAAACTCTTGGAATCCCTAGTCTTTTTTAAAAATATGAATCAATTTTGGGAATTCTTAACGTCTTTTTATAATCTTGGGGGCCCTTATACCGTTTTTAAGAATATGCATAAAACTGGGCTCCTAGTATTTCTTTTAAAAAATTTGAAAGAATCTTGAGGACCTCTAGTGTCTTTTTACGGTCTTGGGTGCCTTAACGCTTTTTTTTTTTTAGAAATGTGAAAGAATTTTGACGGTTTCCAATGTCTTTTTTATTTTACGATCAATATTTATCCTTGGAGATCTTTAGTGTCTCGTACAATCTTGGAGGCCCCTAGTATCCTTTTTTTTTAGGAATGGAAAACAATTCTGCGGGTCCTTGTATTTTTTCATCAAGAATATGAAAGAATCTTGAGATCTGTACTGTTTTTCTTTTTTTAAGAGTAGGAAACAGTCTTCGAGATCCTGGGTGTCTTTTTACAATGTTGGTTACCCTTAGCGTCTTAGTGTTACTTTTCAAAAATTTGAAAAAATCTAGGGAGCGCTTAGTATACTTTTTTTAGGAATGTCAAAAAATATTGGGACCCTTGGTGATTTCTTTAACAGTGTGTAAAATTCTTGGTGATCCTTAGTTTCTTCCTTTTTTAAAAATACGATCAATTAAAATAAAGTAGTGGTAATGTTTTTTTTTTTTTCAATAATATGAAATACTCTTGGGGATCTCTAGTATCTTCTTTTTCCTAAGAATATGAATCAATCTTGGGAATTCATAACGTCTTTTTAAAATCGTAGGGGCCGCTAATGTTTTTTTTTTAAGAATGTGGATGAATCTTGGGGGTTCCTAGTATTTCTTTTGAAAAATTTAAAAGAATCTAGAGGACCTCTAGTGTCTTTTTACAATCTTGGATGCCTTATTGCCTTTCTTTAGAAATGTGAAAGAATTTTGGCGGTCCCTAATGTATTTTTTTTTAAATACGATCAATAATCATTCTTGGAGATCTTTAGTGTCTCTTATATTCATGGGGGACCTTGGTGTCCTTTTTTAGAAGTGAAAAATAATTTTGTAGGCCCCTGTATTTGTTCTTCATGAATATGAAAGAATCTTGGGATCCCTACTGTCTTTCTTTTTTTAAGAAGAGGAAACAGTCTTGAAGATACTTGGTGTCTTTTTTATAATGTAGGGTGCCCTTAGGGTCTTAGTATTTCTTTCCAAAAATATGAGAAAATTGAGGGACTCCATAGTGTCTTTTAACAATACTGGAAATCCCTTGTGTCTTTTTTGGGAATGTGAAATTATCTTGGGAACCCTTGATGTCCTTTTTAGGAATGTGAAAAATTTAATCTTGAAGACTCCTAATGTTCTTTTTTAGAAATAAGAAAGAATGTCGGGTGTTTTTTGTGTGTTTTTTTTTTTAAAGTGAAAGAATTTTGGAGGGTTTTGGTGTCTTTTTTTCAAGAATATAAAAGACTCTTGACAGTTTCTAATATCCTTCGTTCTTTAAGAATACGAAACAATCTTGGAAGCACCTAGTGTGTTTTTTTAAAGATAGAAAGAATCTTAGGGGTCATTAGTGCCTTTTTTAAGAATTGACCAATCTTGGAGACTCCTAGTGTCTTTTTAAGTTGTGAAAAAATTTTGAAGGCTTTTGGGTGTCTTTTTTTTCTAGGGTATGAACTAATCTTGAGGGTCCCTTGTGTCTTTCGTTTTTCAAAATACGAAACAATTTTGGGAGTACTTTGTGTTTTTTTTTTAGAAGTAGGACACAATGTTGGAGCTCCCTAGTGTCTTTTAAAGATACAAAAAATCCTGGAGGTGGCTGGTATCTATTTTAGGAATGTGAAAGAATCTTGGAGGTTTCTAGAGTTTTGTTCTTTAAAAATAAGAAGCAATCTTGGGAGCATTTAGTGCGTCGTTTTTTTGAAAAGAATGTTGAATATCTCTAGTGTCTTTTTTAGGAAGGTTAATGAATCTTGATGGGCTATTGTATCTCTTTTCAAGAATTCTGTGACACCTAGAGTCTTTTTTAGGAGTGTGAAAGAGTGTTGAGATTATTAATGTTCTCTTTTCAAGAATATGAAAGAACCTTGGAAGCTTCTAGGGCTTTTTTTTAAGA